GTGGGTAAAAGCCTCAGCGCCTAGGGCTTGCCGATCGAAAGGTCGGCGGTTCGAATCCCCGCGGCGGGGTGCGCTCCCGTCGTTCGGTCCCAGCGCCTGCCAACCTAGCAGTTCGAAAGCACCCCCGGGTGCAAGTAGATAAATAGGGACCGCTTACAAGCGGGAAGGTAAACGGCGTTTCCGTGTGCGGCTCTGGCTCGCCAGAGCAGCGATGTCACGCTGGCCACGTGACCCGGAAGTGTCTCCGGACAGCTTACAGTGAAGAGCCCCAAAGTTCATGTCTGGCTCAATCGCTAGCAGAATCCATGAGTGGTCTTTTTTTGGACCTCCCCCAACATAAGAGTTTTGTTACCCCCAAACGTCTCCTCCCCTCTCTGCACCTCAAACTACTGCGCAGGATGGCAAGGGCATGTTTCCCTCCTGTCCGGCTTGCCCAGAAGTGGTGTTAAGGCTCCCACTAGCCTCCTCTGTTCCTTGCACTTCTTCCCCACTGGAGATGGGGCTTTCCTCCTCCCCGGAAGAGGAACTGCTTCACAAGATTTTCGGAGGCTCCCTGTAACACAATTGCCCTTCTATTTCTCGCCTCTGAGCTGATGGCAGTTCCCTGACAGGTTGGCCAAGAGGGAATGAAGTCCTTGGACTGAGAAAGGTTCGCCAACCCACTTTAGAGATTAACATGCGATTCAGTGGCAACAAAACCGTTTATGACCAATCCCTTGCAAGATTTCTTGGGGCATGTTTACAGTTAATGCAGTCATAAACAGAGAATATGCCATATCTTATCCAGATGCCTGAGAAAAAAAGTAACAAAGACAGTGATTGATCCTAACAGAAATAAATAGTGTTGCAGCCAACTTTGGAGAGTGTGCATATTCAAACTGGGCTCCTGTTTAAAAATATCACCCCCCTGAGCTTTTCTCCAGGGAAAGGCAGCTAGATAGACAAGCAGGCAAGCTCAGTTTGAATGTTGTGTGTTTTGTCTACCAGTCTTACTTTGCAGATTTGTGTGTTGAAGCACTGTGATTTATTTTTTTAAGAGTTCAGTTACCCAGCTGTGACAAAGTTCATTGCTATCAAAGACCAGTTCAGTTTCAGATGATTATTGTTTTTATAGACAGACAATAGGAACCTGAAAATCAAGATTGCGGTCTGGAACTTTGACATCACTGCAACTTAGACAGTAAAATGGATGGAATCTTGCAACAAGCCCAGGCTGTCTAACCCAGATATATGTACCTGAACGAGCAAAAGGAGAGATTGCTGTTGGCTGGGAAATACCTTTCTCAAATTTCATGTCACCTATAAATCCACTGGGTAAACATAGTTAATTCTCCCTTAGAGATTATTTCAATGTAACATTTAATGTACTCAATAACCTGTGATTGTATCAGTGGGAAAGTCATATTGGAATAAGAGTCCATACAGGTTTACTTTTCTACAGAAGCCAGGGGAGGTTTCATTGCCCTTGGGAGAGGACACACATATTCTTGATGTAGATCTTTTCTCCTTCTCCTGTTTGTGGGAGAATTTTGTGGTTCGCCTCAGGTGTCAAAATGTCTTGGGCCAGCCCTGGAAAAAGTTGTGTGGGTAAATCTGATCAAACAAAGGCTTCAACAGTTTAGAATGAAAAACACTCAGCACAATCCAACTGCCAAGCTTAGACTGGTTGTTTCTGTTTCTCCAAGTAAATCAAATTTATTAGACACTTCTCACTTTTTTTTCTCCCTGGAGTCCTGCCGCTACTTGAGTCTACCATAAACACAGCTCCAGTCAATTGCTGGCTGAAGCCCCAGATGTTCAAGGGCTCATGTGCTATGAGGGTGAAAATGGTCATCTGTCATGGATGCTTTAGCTGAGATTTCTGCATTGCAGGGGGTTGGACTAGATTACCCTTGGGTCCCTTCCAACTCTAAGATTCTATGAAACTCATCTCCTAAGGCCCATATTAAAATCAAGCACACCGTTGCATTTTTTTCCCTCTGCAGATGGAAAAACAGCTGGGGTGTGTGGTTTTTGAGTAAGAAAATGGCCAGGGGAGATGGGTTAAGCAACCCCACCCACTTCCATTATTCATCTGCTCAAACTCAAAGGTTACTGAGACTGATATTGGTTAAAACAAACATTCATCCCATGTCTTGTTTGGGCCTGCGTCTGGGTTCTATGAGGTTCTGGCAGCTATTAAGATGATCTTTTCTCACAAACGTGCACAGTGCCAAAGAAACTAATCAGTTTCAAGAAACAATCCCTCGTCTGGTGGAAAGTGTGACAAGTGCCCTCTCTTCAGCCAAGTCTTCCAGGCAGCTGCCTGGAGTTGCTCTATTATTTTCCACCAGGCAACAGAGTGCTTTCTGAGCCAAGAGCTCTACTATTATGAAGCTCACATTTTCAACAATTGGAACTTGCATAATTCCTTTTTAAAAAAATCAGTGAATTCCAGTTTGGTATTGCAGGTACACACAAATAATGAATTTGCTTTGCTAATGAAAAGTTTGTGAGGAATTGTTTAACAGGACCGTGCTCATGGACTAAACAAATGGCAAGATGGAGTGGACATAATACACCTAAAGAATTTGTGGTGCAGAGCCATAATCTACACCCATGAGGTGACGCTGTTCAGCTTACAGCTTCAAGGCGCTGAAGAAATTTGCCATATGTAGTTACATTTATTAAATCTTCTCAAGAACTGGCGAGCTTATGAAAAACAGAAGATTTTATTCCAAAACTCAAGTGTCGTTTTTCTTTTTTAGTATAGTATTTTTAATCTACAATCCTAGGCACACTTACTTTTGAGTAAGCCCCATTTGACTCAGAGCGACTGACATTGACTAAATGTGCTTAGGATGCTGCCGCTGGTGTTCCTTAGAATCAGAATTACCCCTATGCACACAGATTTCATTCTTCTCCCCAAATTCCACAGTTAAATTAGACACAATAGCATTTCCATCTATGCTTCATGTGAGATGTAGCATGCATAAAAACAGCACTCTTATATCAGGCTTCTTCAACCTTGGCCCTCCAGATTGGCCTACAACTCCCATGATCCCTAGCTAGCAGGACCAGTGGTCAGGGATGATGTGAATTGTAGTCTCAAAACATCTGGAGGGCTGAGGTTGAGGAAGCCTCCTGTATATTATAGGGATATGAAAGGACTGGGGGTTTTCCCCAGTAGCCTGTCCAAAAACCTAGTGCTTCTTTCCCTAGAAGGCAGTATCTGTACGTTTATTAATATTGTTCTGTTGTGTCAGCAACATATTCCTCCACAGTCGAAGACATCCCCTCTCACCCTCATTTGTGTCACAGATTAATGCCATCAAGATGATAGTGCAATACGCAATCAGTGCCTACCCTTGACAATTAAACATGGTGGGACACGGTTCTCAATCCTTCTTCTCTACCAGACAAGCCACACTGTCATGATGCATGGTTTCGTTCATTTTTCTTTAAAACCCTGTGCACAAGCATTTGCTGAACCAATCTCCAGTTTGCTGGAGGCCTGAGGCGATTCGGGAACAATATAATGATGCAAACTTCCCTTTGATGTTGTTTGGACAGAGGTTCAATTCTGTGGTGGCAATTCTGTGATGTTCAGGTGGATTCTGATGAACACCTGTCCCCGACAATTTTAACTAAGATGCAGGAGGCTGAAACTCATTTTGATGGTTTAACTCCAAATTAGAGAGGCATTTCTGTAGCTATGTCTTCTCCTCTGCCCAAACCTAGGGTTGCCATACGTCCAGAATTTCCCAGACATATCCTGAATACTGCAGTCGGCAGCAGTGTCAAATGTCCAGCAAAATCTGGGTGCATGGCAGCCCATGCTGGCAGTGCCATTTTTGCCTATCTTCCATTTTGTAAAAAAGCTCAAAAATGGATTTTATTTTTCCTATTTTTCCCAAAAAGCTCAACAACTTTGTCCGGATTTTCAACCCTACCAAACCTCTTGTTCACCTACTGTAATAAGCAGGACTTAATCTCTATAATCCACAGCAGGAGGAATAGAGGTGAGTTTAAAAAGACTGAAAAGAAACAGGTGGAAGAAGCCACAGCTGCTGAGTGTCCCACCTTTCCAGGGATTTTAAGGTAGACCACCACTCTGGGTTATGACCTGACAAGCCAAGTGCAAGGTACCATATTTCTTGACTCTGGTCGCAGTTCTTGTGGAAGAGCCAATTCCGTTGGTTCAATCAGTGCTGCAGTTTCACTGAAATAGTGAAGTACGTGGATGAGGTACGTGGTTTAGCCAATTTTGTGCTTAATCTAACTACAACTCTAACTTTCTTGGGCTCCATGATCACTGCAGATGGTGACAGCAGCCACGAAATTAAAAGACGCCTGCTTCTTGGGAGAAGGGCAATGACAGGCCTAGACAGCATCTTGAGAAGTAGAGACATCACCTTGCCAACAAAGGTCCGTATAGTTAAAGCCATGGTTTTCCCAGTAGTGATGTATGGAAGTGAGAGCTGGACCATAAAGAAGGCTGATCGCCGAAGAATTGATGCTTTTGAATTATGGTGCTGGAGGAGACTCTTGAGAGTCCCATGGACTGCAAGAAGATCAAACGCATCCATTCTTAAGGAAATCAGCCCTGAGTGCTCACTGGAAGGACAGATCGTGAAGCTGAGGCTCCAGTACTTTGGCCACCTCATGAGAAGAGAAGACTCCCTGGAGAAGACACTGATGCTGGGAAAGATGGAGGGCACAAGGAGAAGGGGGAGACAGAGGATGAGATGGTTGGATAGTGTTTTCGAGGTTACCAGCATGAGTTTGACCAAACTGCGGGAGGTAGTGGAGGACAGAGGTGCCTGGCGTGCTCTGGTCCATGGGGTCACGAAGAGTCGGACACGACTAAACGACTAAACAACAACAACAACCCATCATCCTTGTCCATTGGCCATGCTAGCTGAGGCTGATGGGGGTTGTAGTCCAACAGAAGGGCACAGGGTAGCTGACCCCTGCCTTGTGATCCCAACCTTTGTAGCCTTAATTCTGTTTTATTGTAATCAATGGGCGAAACAGTTTTATTGTAACCACTAACATTGTTAGTCTATTTTGACTTAAATAGCGATGGGTGGCAGGCAGCGAGAAAACTACGGTATCCTTCGTTCCAATATCCATTCCCTTTCTTGCTAACAAAGATCTTAGTCTACACAATCTCTATTGAATAAAACATTAATTAGGTGACCACTCCACCCCAGCTCTTTATTTTCAAACTTGAATTAATCTTACAAAGCTGTTCTCCCCCCTCTCCATCTCCAAAGCACATCTGAAGTTTCAATGTTGTTCCACCCTTGGGTCAGACATTAGTTTGGACGGGTGCTGCTGCTTTTTGGATAAACAATATAATGCAAAATAACAGCAGGGGAGAAGCAGCATGGGTTCAGGAATGAAGCAAAAACAGAGTCCAATAAAAATGATTTTGCATTTCAAAGAGTATTAATAATAAACACGCTACCTCTTCAAATCACAGTTTTGAAAAGCACAGTCAGAAGTCATTAAGTGGAAATTAATTCTATTGAATGGAAGAAGAAAAATACAAAAAGTCCTTCTTCCCTGAATAGTAATCATTGGTGAATTAGATGAGGGTAGCTACTGGATTTCTGAAGTTCCTTTTGACTGGCTCGAAGCAAATGGTATAACTCAGAAAGAGAATGTGAAGAATGGCTCTGATGATGGCCAGTGTCCTTGGTGCTGGCTTCTGCACAATCCTGCACTGCCTTCTGTAACTGCAGCTGGAGGGGAAAGGAGACAGCAGATCCCATGAAGTTGAGAGAAAACCAGGGACGGAATATTTTTTCACAGATGACCTATGGAAAGGGGGAGAGAGAAGCAGTAATTCACACACAAGATCTTTTAGTCCCATCCAACTTTAAGGTTAAGATCTTCACGCAAAATATATTTTGCTGATGTGACTGGACTATTGTTAAGTCATATAATTTATCTAAGTTCAGTAATAAGTTCTAATGCTTTTGGCTCTTTGGAAGCAGGAAACCTGCACTCTCTGGTTGATTAAACCAACTGCAAACTATAGTGCACTCTGTCATCTTACTTGCAAAAGGAGTGTATATGCTCTCTCCTGGCATTTACGGAATGCATGAAGACACAAGGTGTGTTGTGGACACACACACACACACACCATCCCTGCCTCCTGTGTTCCCATCCCCATCACCCTCTGATCTTTCCATGTTGAGTGGGAAGGTCTCATGAGGAATATTCATTTCCTGTTATTTCCTATGACCTATGATTGAGTGCCAGCAAGAATAAAAGAGGATAGACAAAGGCTGTCCATCCCTAGTGACAACAAAGGCTTCTAATTCATTCAGAATGATAGGTAGAAGAGCCCATTTGCTTCCACTCCAAAAAAGCATCCATGGAGTCACCAGTTCACACACAAGTCCATACATCACTTGATCTCACAGATGACAGCTGGGCTACATGGTAAACCTACAATGGGAATGCCACCCTAAGCAGCACTGGCATAATTGTTTAGAATCCTCTTCACTCCCGATCGTTCCCCTATTACTTTGCAAAGGAACACCAGGAAGCCCTCTACCATCTGCACAAACAATGTGGACATCTGGAGCCTCTGAATGTACAGTTGATATGTGCAAAGGCTTCCATGCAATCCAGAACCGCAGTCATGCAGGGTTCTAGGTAGCAATTATGCCTTTGCACACGTAGAGCTGCACTTGTGAAGGGTCCATCCCTACCATGTAGTGTTGTTCATGTGGGTGCCACTGCTCAGTGTGGGCCCCCTTCTGCGTAGAGCAACGCGGGAGCTATGATGTAGGGCTGGGCGATGTATTGATGCATCGTCCAAAACCGGTTTGAAGTCCACCTCGTGATCATGGTTTCACAATATTTTACATGGCCACATATTGTGAATCACAATGTGGGTGCTTTGTAAAATATTGTGATGTGGGGGAAACTGTGAAACTGGTCATTGCTCCTCTCATGATTCCTGCTGCCCCTGTTGCTTTGTACTACAAAATAACAGTTGTAACAATATGTTAAAGGTAAGTAAAAATGTATCAGTTTTAGACCCCTAAGTAGTAGCATTATTCTGTTCACCTCTACATAGTTACAGTGGTACCTTGGAACTTGAAAGGGGTTGGCTCCCGAACAAATCAGTTGCTGAACGCCGCAAACCTGGAAGTAAGTGTTTCGGTTTGCGAACGTTTTTTGGAAGCTGAATGTCCGACGCAGCTTCCGCTTGAGTGCAGGAAGCTCCTGCAGCCAATCGGAAGCCGTGCCTTGGTTTTAGAATGGTTTCAGGAGTTAAAGAGACTCCTGGAATGAATTAAGTTTGAGAACCAAGGTACTATTGTACATCCTTATTTCCGACATCGTGATATGTTGTTATATTGTGACGCTTAGCAGATGACATATCACAATGCTGAAAACCAGATATTGCCCAGCTTTACTATGACAAGTGAAAGGGACTTAGAAGGACTTGACAAGTGATGCAATGCCATTACAATGTGAGATTTCCTACCCTCCATGCAACACCTTTGGCTGCTGTTGGAAGTTAGCTATCCTGACAAAGCAGTGATGCTGCATCAATGTGGTATCACTTGATGTTATGGCAGTAAGCAAAATTTGCCACGGGGGTGCCATTTTTGGCAGCAACCCTGTACCAGCCATGGAACGCTGCCACTTTAGATGTCACTCATCTTCACTGAAACACACTCTGCTTGAGGTGATGATGCGGCAAGATGCGAAACTCTGCCTGCGTTGATTACATCTGTGAAAGCTTGTTCATCCATGGAAGCTACTGCTTGGAGCTGCAGTCATCGAGTGGTGTGCATGCATGTGTGAATAAGTCCTTAAGTGACAGTCGCTCGCAGCATCATTTATTTTAAACTTGCACTTTCATGGGTATTTTAAAGTCAAGACATGCATCCAGTAAGGGAGACAAATAAGCCTGTAGCCACTCACTTGGAGGTTGTTATTGGCTCTCTCTGCTCCACATTTTCTGCTCCTCAGGTCACACTTTGAAAAGCAATCAAAAAAATTACAGTCTTCATCGCCTGTGCAGTTCTGCTCAAGGATGTCTCTCATTTTCGGTTCAAAGAAAGCCATGTCTACGTCAATAGCCACCACCTGCAAACCAGAATAATGCATTCAAGGGTGACTACAGTCCGTGCAAATTGCCACTTTTCTGCTCTCATTGTTCCTGAGCCCTAAAGACTGCTGATCCAAGCATTCCGAGATGAATGCAAGAGAAAATTAGAAATTACAAGTGGGAGAGCTTTCACTGATTAGCTCTGCAACACCAAGGCTTGAAACAGAATTGCATGAGTAACAGACAACTTTGGCGTGAAAGGAGGGGAAGTTCTTCTCGGAGATCCCTGAGAAAATGGCAGCCCTTCACAAGGGGAGTGGTTTCTGTGATGACATAAATTCTGTTCCATTTGCTCTAGCAAGCCCCACCCTCAGAGGCATAACAGCAGGAGTCCAATAGGAAGCTGACCCTTCCCATAGCCCAGCGGTAGTGCACATCCTTTGCATGCAGAAGGTCTCAGGTTCAATCTCTGATATTCCTATTTAAAAGGATCAGAAAGACCTCTCCCTAAGGCCTGCTGTCAGTCAGAGGAGACAAAATAAGAGGCTTAGCTCAATGGGCAAATAGCCTGACCTTGTATAAAAGAACTTCCTTTGTTCAGGTGACCAAATGGCCCACCCATTGTGTGCAATTAGGTAATTTTAGATGCTGGACTTAGTGGATGTACAGCTACCCCCCCCCCTTGAGACAATAATACAGTATTTGCTTCCAATTGTGTGATTTCTCTCCTTCTATTCCCCCCTGACTCCTACTGTTCCATGCTTTACATCTGCTACATTCCTAACACATTAGAGCAAAAACGTTAAAATAAAGCTTGGCAATCCTGAAAAAAATAAAAATAAAGTCAACATCTGACCAAGTGCCAGAGTTTCATGTTATAAATTCATTCATTTACTGTGGCTGCAGCTATTGTTTGTTTGACTGGGGGTGTTTGTCTGTGAATCTATTTCCACTGTCCCCATGACAACTATGGGTGGGTTTTTAACTTTCTTTTTCTGGTGCATCTATAGCACAGACCTCATCCTTTTGGTCTTCTGGAGTCACCATGTCACCAGCTAAACTTAGTGTTTTGGTCATTTTCAACTTATTAAGATAAAATATTTTCATTCCTTCTATGAAAAAATGAAATTGCTTCACAAACTGCTCCATTACATATGTTTTTCAAGTATATGTATTTAACCTATTTCTGAGATGCTACATTCTCCATTGTCGGTAGCATCAACTGCTGGGGATTCCCCAAGTCCAGATGCTCTCCATCGCTGTGGGGCAACAACAAGAAAACCATTTAAAATCCAAATAAGTAAGCTATTTCCACCCTCTAGATCAGCAAAGGTTTGTGCAGAGATTTTATGTATAGTCCACCTTTCCTCCAAGGAGCTCAAAGCAGAATACCCTCTGACCCCATTTTTTATTACCAACCTTGTGAGGGAGATTAGGAAGGAGAAACTGTGAGTGGCCCAGGAATACGCAGTGAGAGCTTCATGGCTGAGTGGGAACCTGAATTTAACATCCCCTAGTAAACACATACCCACATCAGTGCTGCTCTTCTGAACTGGGATAGTTGTAAAGCAGGGATATAGGAGAACTCTGGTCCTCCAGATGCGCTTGGACTTGGAACTCCCATCAGCTCCAGCCAGCTTGGCCAATGGTCAGGGGTGATGGGAGCTGCAGACTAACAACGTCCTGAGGGCCAAGGGTTCCTCACCTGTTTTAATGCTTTAGAAATGTAGACAACTGCAACTTGCTGAGGTGGGGCTACTGCTGAACTGTGAGCCTCATCAACCCAAGTCTTTTGACAATGTGTGTGTGAGTGTGTGCTTGCAAACAACAGAAGGAATAAGGGCTCTGCTTTGGAGAGACTATGCCAGGTATCAAGGGCAGGGATAGCCATCCTTCACAAAACTGATATTAACATTTTGTTCTGCACACACCTTTCTTGGTTTTAAAAGGGGAGAAAAAGATTAAAATTTGTCCAGAATACACCACAAACTGCAAATAGATTGAGAAGCTGGGAAGCCTACAGTTCAGCGGGTTGGAGGGGTAGTGGTGATGTTTGTTATGACTTTGTTCTGAGGGTTTCAGGGGCATACCTGGCACTCAGCCAGCACAACAAGGTTTGCCGCAAAATCCTGTTGCCCCTCAGCCAGCAGGTTTTCAGTATAGGATTACACCCTTAAAGCAAAAGGAGTTGATAATAGTGCTTCTAATGATATTTGCCTGCCGACTTCAAGTTCATTCTATGGATAATGTGAACTGTGAATTCTAGTCTCCAAGCTGTCAGTGCAACACTTTCTACAGTGGACACTCTTTTCACCTGAAAAACAACAACATTTAAAGTAATGGGGAGTGAGAGAAGAAAAGGCAGCTTTCAAACCCACAGTTTTCTGAGTGACAGGGTGAAAGTACTGAACTTAAAATGGCCTTCTCATTTTCTGAGCAGACCTCAAGGAGAATACAGCTCGAAGCATTTTTGGAAGACTTATTGGAAAGCTTTAGAAGACTGACACACCCCGGGGCCTTTCGCAAGTTCATGCAGGCAATATCAGAAACATATCTAATATGTAGCATTCTGCAGCTCACTCTAACTTCATCGAGATTCTAATTTTTTAAGTGAGTCTACTGATAAAATTTTTTCCAGCTACTGAGTTTTGTTTGGCGGATTGTTATTAGGCACATAACTGGACCAGATCTTCTTAATGTGCATGGCCTGCCTTTTATTTTCCGTACGTGAGGTGGCCTGGCTGAAACTCAGCTTTATACAGGCTGCCGAAGAAAAGAAATAGAATATACCAGCCATTCTATTAGTTTGCACACAGAAGACTCATGCTGGCAGACTAGCCAAGCATGGGGCCGCCTCGGGGCCAATTTGCATGCCAAAAAGCAGTCAACAAAAGACACACACAACAAAGATGCAACAAGGATGTCATCAGTAGTTTGGTATTAGTCCCAGGAGGCGTATCCAGAAATCAAAAGCGATCTCTACATGTTTGCCCTCCAACTGCAAATCCTGATGTATATTAGATTAATGCAAATGGCGAGGCATTGGCACTTGCCGGAATAAGTTATACGTTTTTCATGAGACTGGTTGCTTTCCCACACTATTCTTCAGGACTTTTTTTGGCAGCGCTATCAAGCCTAACTTCACCACCACTCATTTCCCTATGAATAAGCTTGAGATGCGATGGCACCAAGGCTGACATTTGCCCTATGACTCAGGGACAGACTCAGACACAGACCTACAAAGCAATGAATCACAGTCTGGGTCCAATCAATAGGACTATGCCAGCAATGCAACTAGCACAGCATGGAGCAGGAGGCAGTCATTGGCTACCACCACTAACTGGCAGCCAGTGAACTAACAGTTCTGACTTGAAGAGGGACATGACAGGGTGGGCAGGCAGGGGGCAGGACTGTCAGCACCATGTAGGCATGGCGTTGGTGAATAGCTAGCAGTTCCCTATGGGTGAAGGATGCTGTTGTAATCTGATCAGGTAGAAGAGGTCCTCAAATGAATGAAGTGGTGCTATATAGTGACCGTGCTGAATCTGATTTAAAATATGGTAAGCAGAGCTTTTTTAAAAACAAAATCTCTTTCACTTAATAATTCACACCTTTTTTGCTGCTTCCTACCCATTCCCTAGCTTCTAATTACGCACCTGAACAAACACAAAAATAAATTGGAGAGTAAAAACACACCTATGCCTTTAAATCACCACACGCTTAACCTTTGCACAGCACGTTCTAGTGCAAAGTTCTGTGTGCATACTTAATAAATACTGGCTCTGCTGGCAGCCGTGTTAATGAACATATTCTACTTTCACTCTACAGGAGGAAATTAATTTGCTCCAAGTTAAACTGGGAGTATGATTTGAAGAGCCTTCTATAGAAGGCTCCATCTTCACAAAAAATATCAGCTGAGGCCCAGTATTGAACTGGATTTCTATTCACCAAAGGCTCACAATGGATCAAATCAATAACAAAATTTCTCAAAGCATCCTCTGTCCCCGACCTCTGTGTTGTATGTCATCTATAAGCCAGCAGACTTCTAGAAGATGCTCAAGGCAAGTACTTGACTCTCCAAGATATGGAAGTTCTAGCCATTTTGTAGCTAAAACAGCACCAGCTAGATGGATATATCAGCTTGGGAACCTGGGAATTAGCAGAAGTACACACACACACACACACAAATCTTCAGGGGGGGACACTAAAGAACAGGGAGGGAAACCAATCAAGTATGCTCAGTGACCACAGGACACTAAGAGTCTCTGTTGGGAAAAATAGAATGGGGGAAGAGAATATGCCGGGAAAGGCTAGAACAGGAATACTTCACACTGCAACATTTTGTTGCAAGTCCCACTTGTTCTATATGTTATTTGATTTTTGGTACATAGCTCGTATGGTCAAAAACATCTTGTTGTGTTGTTCAGAACATATTGTTGCAAAAGAGGCAGTTTTTTCAAGAATGCAGGACCCACTTGCAGAAGATAAGTGATTTCCGACAACAAAATAGGTGACAGATTCATCAAGTCAGTCATTGGCTCACATCCACACCATTCATTTAAAGTACATGACAAAAAAAATTCCTTCCAGTAGCACCTTAAAGACCAACTAAGTTAGTTCTTGGTATGAGCTTTCGTGTGCATGCACACTTCTTCAGATACACTGAAACAGAAGTTGCCAGATCCTTCTATATAGTGAGAAGGTGGGGAGGGGTATTACTCAGAGGGGGGTGGGAATGGGTGATTGGCAGATAGCTGTGATGAGTCTGTTGACGACCCTTAACGACTGCAGTAGGTCTTACAGGAAAAAGCAAGGGGTTGAGAAGGTGAAAAATGGCTTTGTCATGTATAGTGAGATAAGAATCCAATGTCTCTGTTCAGGCCAGGTGTCTCCATGGTTTTAAGTTTGGTAATGATTTGCAAATCATTATTTTTATATTTTATATTTTTATCATCTGGACACATGGTCAACAGACCCTGGACACCTTCCACCAGAAATTCAATGATTTTCACCCCACAATCAACCTAACAATGAATCAATCTATGCAAGAAATACATTTTTTGGACACTACTATAAAAATACAGGATGGGCGCATAGACACCACCTTATACCGTAAACCAACTGACCGACAAACATATCTACATGCCTCTAGCCACCATCCCAAACATACCAAACAGTCCATTGTTTATAGCCAGGCACTACGTTACAGCCGTATCTGTTCCAATTCTACAGACAGAGACTCTCACCTAAGAGATCTACAGCAAACCTTTTTAGAACTAAAATACCCAGCAGATGAAGTTAGACAACAGATCAAAGAGCCAGACTGATACCCAGAGAAAACTTGCTGCAAGACAGACCCAAAAAAGAAAATAACAGAACTCCTCTAGTCATCACATACAGCTCCCAAGTTAAAACAGTACAACGCATCATCAGAGATCTACAACCTCTCCTGGACAATGACAGTTCTCTTTCTCAAGCTCTGGGAGGAAGACCTTTCATTGCCTACAGACAGCCACCCAATCTTAAACAACTCCTAACCCACAATAATACTACAACCAGACTTAACACGGACACTGGCACCAGAGCCTGCAATAAACCCAGATGCCAACTTTGCTGCCACATACACCCGGACAACACCATTACTGGCCCCAACAACATCACACATACCATCTCGGGACTATTTAATTGCTCATCGTCTAACATTGTGTATGCCATCAAATGCCAACAGTGTCCTTCAGCTCTCTATATTGGACAAACAGGCCAAACCTTACGCCAAAGAATAAACGGACATAAATCTGACATCAAGAATCACAAGACAGAGAAACCAGTAGGAGAACACTTCAATCTCCCAGGACATTCTATACAAGATCTCAAAGTAGCTGTTTTACTAACAAAGGAATTTCAGAAATAGACTGGAAAGAGAAGCTGCTGAATTGCAAATCATTACCAAACTTAAAACCATGGAGACACCTGGCCTGAACAGAGACATTGGATTCTTATCTCACTATACATGACAAAGCCATTTTTCACCTTCTCACCCCTTGCTTTTTCCTGTAAGACCTACTGCAGTCGTTAAGGGTCGTCAACAGACTCATCACAGCTATCTGCCAATCACCCATTCCCACCCCCCTCTGAGTAATACCCCTCCCCACCTTCTCACTATATAGAAGGATCTGGCAACTTCTGTTTCAGTGTATCTGAAGAAGTGTGCATGCACACGAAAGCTCATACCAAGAACTAACTTAGTTGGTCTTTAAGGTGCTACTGGAAGGAATTTTTTTTGTTTTGACTATGGCAGACCAACACGGCTACCCATCTGTAACTTAAAGTACATGGTTTACCTTCAAGAATCCTGGGAAGTGTAGTTTATTCCTCCCAGAGCTGCAATTCCCAGCACCCTGAAACTACAATTTTTTTGGCGTTGGGAGAACCCACATGCTTTAAATGAATGGTATGAATGTTTCCGAGCAGACAAATTTCCAAGGCCAGTCAACATTTGGGAACACTTGTGCGACACAGGGCTCTGCATATGGGATATCAATGAAGAAGAAGACTTCCTTTGATTATGAGTTGCATGCTACATGTGCCCAAACCACAGTTATGACATTGAGGTCCTCACTTACCGTCAGATCACTTCGGATGGCGAAGTTTTCCGGCTTGATGTCACAGAGATGAAGCCGGTGAGAAAAGTCATTGTCAAAATGTTTTACCATATCCAGGAAGCTGATGGCAATTTCAGTGATGGCCTTAGCCTTGCTTTTAATCCCAGAAAAGGAAACGCCAGCCGCATCTTCCACAGAAAAGAGAGTTTTCTGCCAGGTATGCCCAGCGGTCAGGTACTCCACAGCATAGAAGTGGCCACAGGAGCCAATGACCCTTAGGACATGTTTACTGAAGTCTTGCAGCACACTGAAGTAAATATATTCTTCTTGTTGGAGTAGGGACCACATGCTAGCCAGCTGCGCTTTCCAGTGTGGGCCCTTCCCCTTCGTCCACAAAGGCACCACAGTGTTATTAGGAAGTTCTAGACCCAGAACATTCTTGATCTCCAAAGCGACCATCAGGAGGAGCTCTGCCTCTGGAATACCCTGTGGTTCCATTTCCTCCAGAAAGCCAAGGTGGTGGTAGCTAGAGAAGATTTCATTTTTGGATTTCAGGATGACTGGGCGGCCTCTCCAGTCAGCTTGGATGACCTTCTTACCTCTGTCGTAATAAAGGCAGCGCTTGTATATCAACTTCTGTGCCACACACAAGTCTTCGCAAAGGTCTCCTGTCAAGGCTCCTTTTCTATAGTCAAGGCACTGCAGAAATGTGGAAAGAAAGAATCAATTGACAGCAGAAAGCCACCATTTCCAGTCACATCAAGAGTAGGGGAAGAGGACAAATCCCTGCAGGATCTTTACATACTCAAGTTCTGCATGACACAGACAAAAGTAACACACAGCAAAGGTGTCAGGAAAGTTTGAGGGAGATGTTTGCCCATGTTTGCTGTTCCATCTTTCCTGCAGACCTGACAGGTCATAAACTCCCAGGAAACTCTTGCTAGCTGTTGTTTTGAGGGTAACAAGCTCATAAACAGACAGCCCCAAAAGGTCAGTAAATTGTATCTCATGTTGTTTAAGCTCTGTACTTTTGCTCTAAGGGTTCCCTCTAGCTGGCCTATTTATTGAGCATTCATCCTGATTTGCTTACACAAAGTCTGTGTATTGGTTAATTTATATCCGAATTTCATTGAGCGTTCATTCTGATTATTCTATGGGCTGACATCTGCCTGTTAGCCATTCATTCAACCCAAATTTTTCCAATGAATTTCCCTGTCACTTTCCTACATGCAGAAAGTCCATTTCTAAAGTTCTAGTATGCACTTGAATCCTTCCCACAAAATACTGCCAGGAGACACCCTAAGTTGAGGTTCCTTTGGATGCTATGCCAAGGGTGAGTTTGGTCTGTACTTTTGGAAACATTTTTCTCCTCTCTGCCACATGTGTAAAGACATATAAAAATGTGCCTCGTTGGTTTGGGCCTGGTGCCTTTGCTGTACACCCAGATGGTGGTTGAGGGTTCAAATAATCATAGAGAGCAATATGAAGCCTGTTGCTTCAAAACACACACACATCCAACTTTTTTTGCCACACATAAAACTGGCTGCCGGAAAGCCTATAATTTTACACAATGATTAAAAGCAGTGATAAAGATAAACAGCTGTAAGGCATTATGATACGGGTTTTCTTACGGCAGTGGAGAAACTTGCTATGAAAACATTTTGTGGGACCAACTGAAATGCATGGGGAGTTGTGACCACACAGAATTCAGGGCTACAATCTGCCTCTGTACGTCCTACGATGTGACGGCATTAGAGCAATTGTTATCTGCCAAGCTGAAAATATGCAGGGTCTTGTAAAATGAAACAAAAACCACATGCTTGTTGTACAACAAAGCTGGGCAGTCTCTTAATCAAGACCTGCTGGTAAGTCACTTGGTGTCCACTGACAAAAGGTATGATGGGACATATTTGTGTGGTTTGCAAATTCTGCAGTTCATGACCAAAGAGACAAAAAAGAAATCAGGACTCTATAGTTATGTGGTCATCTCAAATGCACCAAAATAAATAAATAAACAGGATTTCCCCTGCCAGTCCCTTCCTCCAGCCATAATTGTTTCCATCCCTCTGTTTCTAGGAGTGTAAGCAATCTGCATAACTGTGTCCATTCAGACCTTCCAGAAGTGCAGCTGCAAAGTCTATTCCAGGCAACTCTCTGGAGGAGGAGATGACCGACGTGGGCTAGGGTGGAAGATGAAGAAAATCAGACAGCCAGTTAGTGGCTTGATACCAACTTCTGCATTGATTTCCCTTCCACACACCCCATTCTTCAGGCCAGGAATTTCCCACAATATATTTTCACATGAGAGAAATGCTGGACCCCAGAAAATGCAAGCCCCGCGAGGCTCTCTCATATTTCTCCAGCCAGTTCATCCCATTCCCAGGTCTCTGCCAGCTTACATTCTATTGGCTATGGACTCTGCATGCGAGGGATGGAGAGAGCAAAATCTGGAGCAGTTCCAAATGGCACAGATTCCGTACAGAATATAAGGGTAGAATCCAGCACAGGGTTCATGAAACATTCTGCCAGTGCAAGGATTTCTGCTTGTGCAATGGAATGCTCTCCCCCTGTGCAACCCCTAAATCCTTTCTAGGGGTTCCCCCAACGCTCTGGAGCAGAGGGTGCAGGGCCCTTGCAGGGGAAGGGAGAGGGAATCCCATTGTGCAAGCGGAAATCCTTGTGCTAAAGGGATACAGGAGCTGAATACTGCCCCGTGTTTTTATATTTATCAGATGCCAAGTTGCCTCAGCGCATCTCCAACAATGGCGATGGTCTGCCAGCTTTTATGCCTCGCCACCCCCTTCCACACACAGCGCATAGAAATGCTGCCTTCACACAAAAGCTTCCCAGATACAAGTTTGGAAGCAAACCCTGCATGCTCCTATGAGAGAGCCAATAAATAGTTCCAACAGTGCTATGGAGGAACTGCTATCAGCTATCTTTAAACTGGTGTTTCCTAACTGGGGGCCATATGGTCCCCTGCCTGCCCGCCCCCGATATTCCAAGGCGGCCACAGGTGAAAATCGTATAAATGGGGGGGGGGGCATGGCATGAGACTAGGAGGCCACAGAGGAAAGTGAGAAGTGAAGAAAACAGAAAAGTGACGAGAAAAGAAAACAGAGGAGTAGAGTGAACACAGAAACGACCATGCTTCTCAGTGGATGCAGTGCCATGCGCCCTCTGTGGCAACATCGCTTCTGCTTCCTTCTCTCTCCCACTTCCACACCCTACCGCTGCACACACTAAGCTGCCCGCATCTCGTTTGTCCCAGGCAAGGTGTATGGCTGCAGCAATGTTAGTTATGAGGGTGTGCTGTTTCTTCATGCAAGCACTACTGCGAAAGGAGGTACATAGCTGCATGCAAGAGTTACTCAGCCTCATGCGGAACCGCCTTAACAAAATGGACAGAGGAGATCTTCAGTTATCCCTCACACAATAGAACCGGATATAAAAAAGCTTGTTTCTGGTCAACAAGCACAAGGGTCCCATTGGTCGAGAAATACTTAAAAGTATATTTTTTAAATGTAATTGTATTTTGTATAAATTATAAAAAAATGTTCTGTTTACAAACAAAACATTTAAGTAGCTACCTTTCTACCGGTAGGGCAGGGGGTGGGCCACAGGAAGGAAATGTGGTCGGAAGGGAGCTACAGTGAGAAACACTGCTTTATACCATTTCCTGAGTCCTTCTGGGAGCCACGAATAGTAGAGTAGAACTTGTCACTTGCTCTGCCAAGTTTCTCCCCTGGGTGAAATATTCTTCCTGATAACCAGATCAGTCAGCTATATCTTGAAGAGAACACCACCACCACTGGCGGCAATGCCCCAAGTTTTCTAAATTTGGGATCAGCCTTGCTACCATTGTCGCAAAATAGCAAGTAAATGGCTACAATGTGATTGTTTACTTGAATACCAACTTTTGTAAATTAACTGATATTCCTTTTCCTTGCTTGGGTTGCTCGAATATACTTTTAACTGGCCATCATAATGCTCTGTCGTAGGTTTGTAGCACTCTTAATCCTGACCTTCAACACCTGTGATATGCATACTTTCAGGATCCAGCTTTTTTTTTTTTTTTTTGAGATTGTGTATGTGTTGTGTGTTTTAATTGTGTTTTGAAACTGAGTTTTAAATCATTGTAACCCACCTTGGGCATTAGGCTGAAGGGTGGGCAATAAAACCACCATCATAGTGAGTTCCAAAGAGCAAGAATGTGGATTAGATGACCCTTGGGATCCTTTCCAACTCTACAGTTCTAAAAGGGGGAGGAAGGCTGAACACAATGTTGCTTTGCACTAACACAAAGCACTTCCACAAAGCCCTGGTGTCCACCAATTCCACCATACCTCCCACTGTAGCCCTGCATCTCATGCTGTTTTGTGGAGGCTTCTTCAGCCATCAGGGCTGAATTGGCAACAAAATGAGTGTCCAACTTTGGAAGTGCTTTCAAGCAGCACAAAGTCCTCACGGGATACAACCCAAAGCAGCTTGTCTTGAACGCCTGGCATGTTGGTTTTATCAAACAGCTGTGAGCTCAGGTATTATTTTCCTTCTTGATCTCCACCTCTCCCCCATCCCCACCACTGACAATCATTTGAAATGTTATATCCATCCATCATAGCTAGGGCGTATCAAATCGCTATGCGTCCCAGCCTTTTTCAGAGAGAAATTTGCATACTTTACTCATCTCCAGAGCCAAGTTCTCCTAAGGTCACGAAAGCCTGTAGCTCAACCAAATGGATGTGAGTACCGCAGCACACGCCATTGTAAAAGCTACGTTACTTACGCCTGCAAAGACTTCTGTGTGCAGAGACTCAAAAAACTGCATTTAAATAGTAGCACTGATTTTGCCTGAAGCCATCCACTAATGCAAGCAGTACGACATGACATATGGAAGTAAATTTGAGAATATCCGTTTTATAGCCAATCGCTAAAGCAATCCATTTCCCTTTTATATATTTGTAAGAGCTGGTGCTCCCTTGGCATCTCCCCCTGTGGTGTTGCTGGACTACAGATCCCATCATCCCTAACCATTGGCCATGCTGGCTGCGGCTGATGGGAGTTAGAGTCCAACAACATCTGGAGGGCCACAGGATCCCCACCCCTACTTGTGAAAGAGGAAGCTTCCAGGGAGCCTGCTTATTCGCACAAATTGTCCCTCCCTTTCTAGTGCAACCATCTAGTCACTTTTCTAACTGCAAAACCTATAATAAAAGTGATGGGAAACTACACTGCAAAGGGTGGGATAACTCTCACTAGCTGTGTGGCCTCCATGCAAACATATCAGGATGAATCTCAATAAACATCTAGTGTCGGTCATATAACCGCCGCATAAGTTTGATGTGGACGTATCAGCATAAATGCTCAATAAAGAACCAAACCAAAAGCTTCCCAGCGATCGCAAAGAGTCAGGAGTAAACGACAAAGCTCTCTTAAAGAAATCATGCAACCACTCTGAGGACCAGACTGTAAACACACAAGGTTAGTTTCCCGTGGATTAATTGGGAACCAATTAAATTGGTCTGTTAGAATGTAAGACAAATTAGTTCAGGGATAGGGACTCTGTGGCCTTCCAGATGTGGTTGGACTCCATCAGCTCCAGCCAGCAACGCAAATGGTCAGGGATGAGAGGGAATTTACTCCAACGACAACTAGAGAGCTACAGCCACCCCCCAACCCCACCAAATTAGTTTATTTGG